CATGTTTGTAAGCGGAGCGTCTTGGAGATCTCAAAATCGACTGTCGAACTGCCTCCACATTTTCTGGCGTCGTAACGGTCCGTTGTCGTCCTGATGATCTTTTCACCACACTCACGGTTGTCCTAAAGTTCTCTACCCACAAAACTATCGATTTCCGGTCGGGAACCGAACCTCTGGGCTTAATTCCGAAGTGAGTACGGAACGCACGCTGCACCGCCACTAGGAATGGTTGTTCGAAAAATAGGCTTCGACAGAAAACGCACGCTGCTCACTCGTCCACCGCATGTTTCCTACTGAGGGGTAATAGACAGAAACTTCCACGACTGCTGCGTTCGCCGAGCCTATCCTTACTTTTCTGCGACCTCTCCTCCCTTCACAATGCGTCTTCACAAAAAGGAAGTTTCTGCGCCCCACCCTGTATAACAGGACGTAGGAAATTGCTGGAATATGACGTCGTGTAGTGTGATAGATTGTTGCCAACATTCCAAGGGATTTGCTGCCGTGATTTTCAGGATAGGAACTACCCGATTATACGGCGTCACGTCTCAGAAGACAGCAATCTTCTTGGTCTGCGCATACAGAACCTCAAATGTGGCATAATTCCACTGAGATTCCTAACTTTCTCTGCCGTAAGTAGGAAGAAAACAAACTTAATCTCCCTGTACGAAAGTATAAACTTTGTTACATATCGTATAGAGAGGAAAAGTGATCCTTAACTTTATGCAAGAGAAATTTAATTAAGATTTAAACAAACTTTATATACTATTTTGAAAACGCCATTAGCTAATCCATACTTAAGTAGCAGAACCCGAAAATCCAACATCGCTAATATCAAACGATTCTGAGCCACGTCCATTCACAGCCCATCCCCCAGGCCAATCTCCCTAAGATCAATTTTTATGCTTCCCATCCATTCCAAATCAACGTTTTCCAAGAGGAAGCCTCACCAAACTTCTGTACTCAGTCCTCATTTCACCATTCCTAGCTCACATGCCTAGCTCATCCTTCGCTCCTTGAGTTAATATCCTTACATAAGGACCGCAAATCTAAACTCGAAAACGTTGGTGATACACACGAAGAGAATGTCAGCTTACCTCAAACGTGTCGCAGTAGGCTTTGAAGCCAGTTCGCAGATCAGGGATGGAGTTTGGTGAGATATTGACTGCTTTGAGAATTTCTTTGGCCGTGTCTCCATTTGCAGCCTCTAGCAACATGGCGATATTCGTAGCGAGGCCAAATGGAGCAACTACCAGGTTCTCTCGCCCCGGTGCTAAGGCCTTAAGAAGGAAATACATCGGTTGGTAAAATATTATCACAAGCGCAATAACTCTACATGTCAATATATGTCATTTCTTAAAAGCACTCACCACATGATAAAACAGAAGAGAATTCCGAATACGAAGAAAATTGATTTCCATGTTGACACAGTTATAGAATTTTTTAAAACTATGTACCTGAAATATCTTACCATCTTTAGAGACACAATTAAAACAATACATTTCACTGAAACATGACTTATATATTATATGTACCTCCTAATGAACGAAGAAACACGAATGCTTCAACCAGGCATTAAAATGATCATTAAAATTTGCGGAGAACTGCGGTGGCAGTCAAAACAATTGAAAATTTTGTGACATTGATGAGATGTAAGGATACGACCGAACTACATAGAACGTCGTTCTCCTCGAGAAGCTGACAACCGTTCAGTTGGTCAAAAAAATGTTCCGCCTTATGTGGAACCTGAAGTTTGATTTTCCTGTTCACAAAATCCCGCTACTAGACCATGTCCCGAACGAAGTAGACGAATTCAGTCCAACTTCTCTTACCTTCCTACTTACTTACTCACTCATGGAGCTGAGCCGTTCTTGAGGAGCCGCCAATTCTGCAGCTACTCAAGAATTTCCCAGCATTTTATGGAACCCAAAAGTTCATCACCGTGTTCAAAAGAGCCCTCCACTGCTCCATATCCGGAGCCAGATCAATCCAATCCATACCATCCCAGCCTATCTCTCTAAGTACCATTTTAATATTGGTCTTCCCATTGGTCTCTTTCCTTCTGCTCTTACCCTCCTAATGTATTTTAATTTCTCTATCTCTTGTTTTAAGAGTCATGCCAATTCAAACTCGCGTTTTTTTCTAGGGTGTTCTACATTTCTGTTACTCCAACGGTTAAGTCTACTAATAAGGTTAGTAAGTGTATTTAGGTACAACCAGCAGGAGGAGAACATTAACACGCATCTAAAAAAATATGGCTCGATTCATCAGGCCGGAGACAGGGACCAATGGCAGGCCCGTCGTAACAAATAATTACTTTCAAAAACTCAGCGATTATCATATTCTGAAGAAGGGTTCTTCTTCATGCCGATCATTTAGTTCGGTGATGTTAAGAGAGCGGACGTGCTAAACAGTTTCTTCATAAATGTCTAACGGGCAGTTTAAGTAACTTGGCGCCAGATTTTGTAGCAGATTATAACTATATAATTTCCGTGTAGATTATAAAAAAAAATAAAGGTATCCCTGTAACAGGCCGTGGAGGCCCATAGGATTGTGAGACGTTGAGGTTCCCACATTTTCTAGACAATCGGCTCACAGATGGCGGCAAGGTTGTCAGGCTTACGCGCCGGCCGCCCGTAGATTGCATTATATATATACATTTTACCCTAATGTTATAATAATATTAAGGAAAAGATCAGTTTCCAATTATATTGTGTTCTGCTGTTTACACTTCTTAAAATTAACACTAATTTCGCGTGTTTAAATGGGAGATACAAACTGAATTTCTAAGACATGTTGTGCTTAAAATGTAACTGACCTGATTATATGGTCCACCAACCAAAATAACTGTCTATCCCTGGTTTAACACATGGTTGGACATTGTGTCCTAACAAAATATATGCTTTTACGATCAAAATATGGAGCTTTGTATCTTGAAGGCTTCCGAGTTGCCTCAGCCTGTGTAACTCACCTGGAACAGTTTAGGCACGAGGTTATTGCTGAAGTCTGTAACCAGCTGCACGCCACTCAAGATGTCTGCGTATGACAACGATACCGCGGCAAACAGACACCAGACCGTCACCACAAGAGAGGAAGACACTAGGATGTGCAACGGAAAGAACTCTTATGAAACCTAATATTCTTATCGCTAGAGAAAGTTTAGTTAAACTATAAATTACAAATTAACAATTACACAATGTACTGATATGCTTCCTTTAGCAGACTGACTCGTCCTTACGCACAAACTCTCTGCGACCCATGCAGTGCACTAAGAAGTCGGAACGCCTGCAATTCTGTACCTGCATCACATGCCTCACGGATGGTCTACAGAAGATACAGCTGACAGATGCGTTTGATTTCTCAGAAAGCGTTTCACTTTGTGTAGTGGGCGAAGTGGCACTGGGGTGGTGCTTCTCCGAGTACTTCGCCTTCCCCTACCAATTCTCTTTCCACCAAAAGCTCCACATTCTTCAGTAATCCTATCATTGACCCTGTATGTATAGTCTAGACACTGACAACGTCGTTACATAAGAAACTTAACAAACCCGAGAACTATGACGACAGGGAAACCCAAATGGAACAAGTCAAGGATAAGTAAAGGTAAAAAAGACAAAGTTGTTCCTGTGCTTAACTAATTAAGCACTATGTTATGTAGGCGTAGGGGGAGTGGATGTATAGAGCCACGTTTTCTTGACCTCGGCACTAACTGGAGTGAGTGGTCAGCTTCACGCCCCTGTCGCTTTACCCCGGGAAAAGAACCCGCAGTGCCCATTGGATAGGAGATTGGGTGGCCCTGGAGTCGGTCTGGACGACATGGAGAAGAAAAAATTCTTGACCATACCGGGACTCGAACTTCGCCCCCTCGGTCATCCAGCCCGTAGCCAGTCGCTATACCGACTGCGCTACCCCGGCTCCTCACGTCCAGCCCGTAGCCAGTCGCTATACCGACTGCGTTATCCCGGCTCCAGTCGAAGGTAGGAGGCAGACCCCTGGTCCTACAGGGTGAGTGTTACCGTCGCGCTGGAAACTTGTGATGGAAGACACGCGTTCCGAACTTCGGCACCGTATTAAAGCAAAGTGGAGTATGAAGGGATAAGGCCATGAGGAAGTATATGAATAGGGACCAGCGCCACTCAGAGGAACAGAAATGTGTCTGTACTAAGTTCTGTCGTCACATTACGTGATATCAGATGAGTGTGGATGGAGAAAGTTGAATCAAGCAGTAATGTTTCTTTCTGGTTTGCGTTTAGCAGGCGGCTGGCACGAATCTCTATTCTGACTGAAGATTTTCGTAGTTTTCCGCAGTCCCTCCATACAAATGCCTGCACTGTACTTCAATCTAGGCAACTGCTTCCTTATTGACTCCTCCAATTCCATCATTCACTAATCATTCTACCATCTGGTGATAAACAGTCCGAGATGCTGCCAGTGTCATTCAATAAACCGCAGCATAGGATAAATTTGGAGCTGGATGACATAGATAGACCTGCTCTCAAAACACTGTGAAATGACGCCTGAAAACCGGAATAGCGGAGCCAGAGTAGACGTTCATTGCTAGGCAAAGGCTCCCACGGCAACGCATAAACAAGCAACAATCGAGGTATTGTTGAGCTGTAATGATGGAAGCAGTGTTTTCTGTTGGATCCGTCCCGAGGCTACATAATGAGGATCCCAGGCCAGCTGTGGAAATAACTGAAAGAGTCTCTTGAGATGGCGGTTAGATGTTTGAGAAGAGATAGCAAGAATGGACTTAATGTGTGATTTGAAGAGATTATGCGTACTGTAGTTACAGTGAGGCTGTCATAAATCCGTTGCCAGCATACGACTAGTGAAAGCAGACAGAAAACTTACGGTAGGGTGATTTGTAGTGTGGAAATCAGCAATAGTGTTATTTGTAATTGCGACCTGTTTATGTTTAATAAATCTATTCACCAATCCAAACCTCCTCTGTGGTGAGAATATAAATGAAAATTATAAATTGATGATCAATTGATTTATTACTTTTAGGTTAAGAAGGCCTGAAGTAAAATATAATTGTAATTAATTTACTAAAGACCTTTATACAACTGAGATGTCGTTATTTCTTATTTACGATATAGGTAGATTACCTGCTGTATCTGTAATTTTCACATGATTATGAATAGTGAGTAGAGAAGAGACAATGCAGAAAATGAGGGAAACATGAATAGCAACTCGGCCGGTATTCGAACTGTGTACCTCTCGAATATAAGCTAGAGTATTAATGCTCTTATCAGTCGATAAGTCTGTATAGTAATATGCAACTGGATTGGATTTTAATAGTTAAAGAAGCCTGTGATCGTCGCGTTGTGACTCATCTGAACATGCAGGACGATCCGGTACGAGTGGAGGAGTGTGCGCGCGCACGAGTTACTGCAGAGAGGACAGCTTCAGCCGGGAAGTGAACCTTCCGACTGCTTCCGACACAGGGAACAAGCGGGTACGAAAGAAGCAAAGAACGCCGTAGATAAATTGCGGAATGCTCAGAAACCGTGAAAGTCGAGAGGAAAGTGAAATGGTTGCAAGCTGGCGGAGAAACCGTAGGAACTCGTATTTCGTGAATTAGGAACATATACAAGGAGATCCAGCCTAAGTTGTGGAATGACAAAAGTGCAATACAGTAACAAGTTACGTACGTTATTTTTGCCTTAAATTGAAAAATGGAGATTTGATGTTTTCTACTAGTGCTTTAAGGGGGAAAAATGTTTGGGGTTGCATGTAGGGTCCATTTTCTTTACCTCCCATTTAATTCGGTAAAATGAGATGAAGGAAGTCGGGTTAGTTCATTTGGTATAGCGACGGGCTACGGGGTAGATGGCCCGGGTTTGATTCCCGATATGGCAAGATCTTTCTCTTTTCCACAGCATCCAGACCGATTCTGGGGGCCACCCAGCCTCATGTCCGATGGGCACCGGGGGCGATTTCGCCGGGGTGTGAAACTAACCACTCACCTCCATCTAGTGCCAAAGTAAAGAATGACAAAGATATACCTCAACTCCCCCATACGCCTTCATGGTATATTTACACTGAGACTGAGACATTACATAAATCTCTCTACCCAATAACATTGCTATGCTGCTGCGTGAGATTAGGGTAACAAATTGCGCCGACAGATAGCAGTATGCACCAATTGGAAGTAGTGAAGTTGCGCTTGTTCTACAGGCAGGTAGCTATGGGGAAAAAAATAAATAATCCCTCCATCGTCAAGTGTCGTAATTTTCATGGACAATGCCTTTCTAGATAAACGTCATGAAATTATAAATAAAACATTAATTAAATCAAGTACCTTACGCCTCTCAAATGTTTGTGCAGAGAGCTGTCTGCTAGTCGTAACATAGGGGAGAAATGAGACTTGCATATGAAATTCTACTTACATAACCTGACAGGACTAGGCCTCTTGGAAGACCTAGTGATGGGTGAAAATGTCTTAAAGAAATAGAGTAGGCGTTTGATGAATGGATATATCTGGCTCAGGACATGGAGTAGAAGCAGGCTGTGGGGAACACGGTAATGAACCTTCAGGCTCAATAAAACACAGCGCAGATGAGTAACCATCAGCTTGTCGAGAAGGAATCTGCTTTACACAGTTATTAGTCGGAATTAATTCTTGCATAAATTTATATGCACCCAGTTATTCGTGCATTTGTAGAGATTATAAAATAAGGATCGTATAAACCAGGAAGTTTTCTGTATTTTCAGAGTACTCATCGGTGTGGAAACCTTCTCAAAAGATGTCTGAAATACAAAGGGATCCGCAAGGAAACCTGTGCCAATCACACACAAGAGCTTCAGGTGTACAGTCGATGATACTTCCGCCTTTAGCACAGTTCCTTAGCAATACACTGAACTGCGAGCAATGGGTACCTAGGTACATTACACGAAAGCACAAAAAGAAAATGTAGGTAATAGCCCATGCATTCGTAACCTAGGACCTCCATGGGAGCGAGCAGTTAACATTTACTCCCAGGGCATGAGTTTGCGGTACACAAGTTATGTTTAGCACTTATCCATAGGCCTACATAAGTATGAACCTATTTGTTATGCACGAGGATTCTTACGTTAATTCTGCCTACGGAAATTTACTTTTTACAAATATGCCTCAGACAATTTATTTATTTATGTGTGGATTATTCAATAACTGTTTCAGTAGCTACACTGTGCAGTGTTGGAGGGATCAATGATCAATTGGAAAGGATTTAGAATGAGGCGGTCGCTGAGTAATTGTGGTACTACAGCGACATTTCCCGGGAAAGACTGAGAAAAACCTCGAAAAACAGTCATGACAACCGAGATTCGAATCAAGCACAACACGAATGTCAGTCTAGAGCCTTACCGCTTCAGACAATGAACATTGATCTAAAAATTCTTGTGTAGAGAATAAACGATTCTAACAGACCATGAAAGAATTCTCTGGTACACACACAGGCTGTCAGAAGTTGGCGGTTAGGAAAAACAGTCACTTCTCTGGTGGGGAATTCATCTGCAGGTAGTTCAGACCGTAGCTGCTTACTTCACTGGCTGAGATATTCTACTTCATTTGTACGAATACGAACAACGTACTCCATGAAATAGAGTATTTCTTCGGACACTGATAGTCACTTTTACTTACTAATGGAGCTGAGCCCTTCTGGAGGAGCCGCCGCCAATTCTGCAGCTACTCAAGAATTTCCCAGCATTTTATGGAACCCGAAGGTTCATTACCGTGTTCACAAGAGCCCTCCACTGGTCCATATCCCGAGCCAGATCTATCCAATCCATACCATCCCATCCTATCTCTCTATGATCCATTCTAATATTGTCCACCCAACTACGCCTTGGTCTTCCCTGTGGTCTCTTTCCTTCTGGCTTTCCCACCAATATCCTATACACACTGACTGATGGTCACTCAGCTGGACAAAAACTCCCCGCCCTTTATGGAAACTGAAGGCTCACTGACGCGTTCACAAGTGCCCGGTACTAGTCCCTCTCTTGAGCCAGATGAACCCTATTTCTTCAAGGCACATTTTATTATTACCCTTTCAAGGACCCGGAAGTCTCCCGTGTGGCCCCTCTTACAGCTTCTCCGACGAAATTTTGCATATATTCGTGCTACATGCCAAGGCAATCTCGTCCATCTTGTTCTAATGACGCTAGCAATCTAAGATGATAAATAAAAAACCATGAAGCTCTTCATTACGTAATTTCTTCCAGTCTTCGTTACGTCATCTGAAACTGATCCATACTTTACTAACTTCAAACCATTCGAACGTGTTTGTGATAGTTTGTTATGGTCACAAACGCTGGAGAAATAATTGTCACGATTGAGGACTTGGTTCAAGCCTCTAAAGCATGATGTAACTATATAACTATAGACCTGCCATGTTCGATATTAATTGCAGAGTTTCTCTCTCTCTCTCTCTTTCTACACACATATATGTATATACACGTATATAAATAGGGAGAGAGAAACAAAGAACATAATAAATTAAATTACTGACATAATTTCTGGCAAAAACCGCAGAAACAGGCCTTGCCGCTGCAGACGCTATGGCATAAGAGCGGTGTCACAGTTCAGCTGAATTTGCTTACAGAACTTTCTGGATCTTATTATCTAGCAATAAACTTCATGCGAAATCCACAGCCAAAAAAGTAAGAAAAAAGTTGAACTTTGGAACACACCTGTGATTGCGCATACTTGATGACTATGTATGTACATGCGTGTAACGAGACAAGTTTAAAAATCCTGTTTTACACCATCAAGAAACAGCCAAGCCTGTTTAACCTCGATTGCTGTACATCTCATGCAGACATCATATTCTGCAATGGTTAATAAACTTAGAAAGGGGATAAGTGTGCCACTAACAGAGCAAACTACTCTAACCTTAACACTGCACACTTGTATTCTCAGAATAACTTGTTCGAATGACCGCCGTCCATTCTATGAAATATCACTGATTTGCGGTGTACCGACCCAGAAAACACTATTTGGGCCATAGCACCTTCCTTGTGCTCTATAACCGGCAATTCGCAGTGTCAGAGAGACGAAAGCACGGGAATATGATAACATGCTGCCTGGCCAGGGCTATCGCGCAGCTCAGTGGGCGGTAAGAGGTGTTTATGGAGCAATGGTGGAGTGCTAATTAGCAGAGTAAACTGGAGAAGTACCCCCTGCTTTGTCCACGACGAATCTCACATAAATTTACTCGGGACTGAACCAGAGACTCCGAGACGAGAGGCTAGCGACTAATTGCCTGAGCTATGGCATGACCATTACTTCGGCCATATTCCTCGCAAGATTCTGAACTGAGCAACGAAGTGATGTTTTGCAACAGTTGATTCGTCAGGCTGCTTCGGTGTCTCTGGAGACTGCGCAGTTGTGCTCGTGTGCAGTGGCCACTACGGCCTATTCTCTCTCGCACTTTCACTATCGGCCGGTCTTGGTCTCGAACCGCAAGTTAGGGCCAGTAGGGCCGCGCCATAGCTCACGCGGTTAGTCGCTGGCTTCCCACCGCGGCGGCCCGGGTTCGATCCCGGGGTCTGGTCAAGTGGGATTTGTGGTGGACAAAATGGCGCTGGGGCAGGTTTTCTCCGAGTACTTCGGTTTCCCCTGCCAATCTTCATTCCACCAATTGCTCCACAATCACCCTCACCTATCATCTGGGGCAGGTACAATAGGCTAGAAGTGGCCGCAGTACAAGGGACTTAGTCCCACCCCACTAGCAATAAAAAAAATAGGGCCAGTCGGCGGGGAGCAGAAAAATTGCGTACGGCTGGAAATTCTGTTCCCAACCAGACATACAACGGATACAACGGTCATGTGACGCCGTTATCATCATTATCATAATTCTAATTATTGTTCCCTTTTCTTATAATCATTGGGCACGCGGTTGAGGCACTATGTTACAAGCCGGAAGGTCGCGGGTTCGATTTCCGATGAGGTCACTGGATTTTTCAATTGACCTAATCTTTGCAAACCACTATAGTCCTGGGGTCGAATCAGCCTCTAACAGAAATGAGTACCAGGAATCTTCCTGGGTGGGGTGGGGGGGCAAAGGGCTGCCGGCGCGTAAAGCTGTGAGGCGATTTTCTAGAAAATGTGGGAGCCCCGATGTCTCACACCCTTATGGGCCTCCACGGTCTATTACAGGGATAGTTTTATCTGTACCTTTTGTTATAATCATTATATTTCTGCTCATGACCATTTGTTACTTTCCTCTGCTCATGATTACTGCTACTGTTACTGGTGGTAGTGGTAGTAGTGGAATCCGTTGAAGGTTCAAAACGAAACTGTAACAGTCCCAGTCTCTAGCTATGGTTTACATATGAGCCCATATCTTTCCACTGATTATAGAAGTATGACAAGAAAAATCATTTCAAACGTCGGATATCGAACCCAGGTATTTCAGACCGTAGCTTGCTACCTAAGACATCCCGGTTTATTTACATACTGAATAAGAGCAATTGACATCATGGAGCAGGGTTGTTCTTGAGGAGCTAATAGTCGCTTAGCTAGTAAAGAAATTTCGTGCTTTTTATGGGACTTTAAAGTTCATTTCCGTGTTCACAAGAGCCTGTAGCCGAAACACGGCGGAACATTTCATAACATGTTACTTTTTTGACTGAGAATTGTTAGGCTCCTGTCCAGAGCCCAAGCTGGAGGACCGCATCTGGGACTGCTTATTCAACTGTCAACAGCCTTCCATATTTGCAAGCAGTGTCCTTGTTAGGGAATTTGAAGCCGCTCCAGGCCATTGTGGCAAGGGGCCAGACTGACATTGTATAGCCCTATAGACTTCCTACATATTAAGTATGTGGTTTATGACAAATGTCATTGCCTCTTTAGGCCACCTTCACTTGCTCATGAATACATTTGCATGCGGAACTATAGAATTCTTTTGCCAGAACAGTCGAGTATTACACGTATTTTGTTTCGAGTGTCAAATATTTTCTCCACTGTTCACGAAATTTATGTTTGTGAAGATGCTTATCGAAGATTAATCTAATATTCACAGAGTTACAAACATTAAATAAGAGTTTCTAATAAATGTATGCTATCACATCCTCTTGGCTCTGAAACCTGAAATTAATGTTTTGTAAGAATAATTCTGTTAGTTTTTTGCAGTGTACTTTCACATGAGAGTTAAAAGGCTGGAGAATTCTATTTCTGTTTAGCGTATTTATGAAATAAAAAAAAATATTTACGCCGAATATTGATGTAGCTAAGAACATTAAATGAGACTTCATTAAAGTTTTGTATCACAGGAAATACATCATTTATTTAATTTTATTGCAGTTTATATTAAGTGAACCCCGAGCGAGGAACAAAAATTTTTGGATGAAGGACAGGACGAACGGATGTTCCTACCTACACAGAATAACACACAATAACACAAACGAAAGGAATATCATCCGTTTCCTAGCAGGATTCGAACCGAAAAGCAAAGTGTTCAAAGATCACGTACGCTTCAGACCGAGGGCACTTTGATCGTTAATCTTCCTTTAATCTGTTATAAAACGCTTTGAATACGGATCGCGTGATCGAGGGAACAACACTCCAACAAACTAGTACGATCAAAACACAGCGGCCACATTTTGGAGATCGATTCAATGACACGATCAGTCGCTCTGAACAGAGTTTCTGCGCATGGAATCAACAGAATTCGCTCTCACCTGGTCGTGCTGTGTCCATGGCGACGTTCCCGTACACTCAACAACTCGATACCTTGCAGTCCGGTGACACTCGCGAACTGGGTCAGCAGATACCAGAGGGCCAGGGTGAGCAACTTATCTTCCTCCCTCCCACTCTTTCACTTTCAGTTTCAAACCGAACTGCTCAATCTCCGTACCGCTCATCAGAATTAAATATCCGTGAATATAAGTTTCCAGCTAAACTACGCGTTCTTCTTAAAGCCAACCTTATTGAGACAAATAAATTGCTTATTACCGACATCACGAAATTATTTAGATCTGCGGGGGTGTGGTCGTAAAAGCATAAATGCCGGAGCTGTCTGATATGCAGTTCCAAGTTGAAAGAAATGGGCATGTCGTCCTTCTCGTTGTTTACCCAGTGATAATTATGCATTTTAAATGACTAACTTAAAATGACAGCCATTTCTATTTCAAACAGAGAGGTCGAAAATTAATAAACCACAAGCTGTTACATTTTCATTGCATGTAAAAACAAATTATTTCTAGCATATCGTGAAAATAAAATGTTATGATTGAAATTAAATTATCGTTTTTAAGAAAACAAGAACGGAGTTTCTATTATTTTTATTAATGGCTGCTTATACTTGACATCAGCATCTTAAGAAATACCAGGGCAGTGCCCCGGCACTGAAAAAAATCAGGGTGCAGTCCTGGACCTCCCTGCCTCAGCTACAGCCCTGAGCCGAATGCTTGTAACTACACGTGTATGAGCATATTACAGCAATCTTCTACATGTAAGTAAAGTAAAGTAAAGCTATCCCTGTAACAGTCCATGGAGGCCCATAGGGGTGTGAGATGTCGAGGCTCCCACATTTTCTAAACAATCGGCTCACAGATGGCTGTGAGGTTGTCAGCCTTACGCGCCGGCCGCCCTTTACCCCCAAGAAGATTCCTGGTACTTATTTCTGTTAGAGGCTGAGTCGACCCCAGGGCCATAGTGCGGCTGTAAATATTAGATAAATTGAAGAAATCTACCTCATCGGGATTCAATCCGGCGACCATCCGGCTTGTAGCACAGTGCCTCAACCAACTACGCTACCGCGTGGCCCTATCTTCTACATGAATATTACTGAACAAGAGCAGAGTACTTTAACATCTCAACTGACCCTGAAGTAAGCCCAATGTAAGAAATAATCAACAAAATATTTTTACTTAGCATCGAATTTCATTTCTAAAAAGGCAATGATGTGACATCATACACGTTTTCTATTATCTGCTGCTGTTGCGCCGCATGGTAGTAGCATATAGATCGCTGTATGCATTAAACTTCCTATGGATTTCTATACTCTAAAGAGCGATCGACATAGATCGCTTTCTGCATTACGCATCCTACATGATTTCCTATCTGAGAGCACAGACAGAGAGGGTCTGACATATAGACTGCCCATCAGAAGCATTAAGATTAGATTTTGATGGTAAGGTTGTCCCTGTGCTTAACTAATTAAGCACTACGCCATGGAGGCGTGCGGGGAGTGGGCGTACAAATCCATATTCTCTGGACCTCGGCATTAGTTGGAAGTGAGCGGTCAGGTTCACGCCCCGGCCTCTTTACCCCCGGGGAAAGAGCCTCCGGTACCCATTGGATAAGAGGTTGGGGGACCCCAGAGCCGGTCTGGACGACGTGGAGAAGAGAAATTCTTAACCCTCCTGGGACTCGTAGCTAGTAGCTATACCGACTGAGCTATCCCGGCTCACTTAGATTTTTGTGGGGATTGGAAAAATATCATTAAACGTAAATTAGATTTGATTACATATGCTAACAAATAAACTGACATGTAGGGTTCCTTCATTACAAATCATTACTTCCCAATTAAATTTATTTATAGAACACATTTCTTCACATGGTCCCAGACATTATAAGGGGTGGAGTCTCAACCTGTGAACGTCATTCAAAGTATGACCCTACGTTTCACGTATTACATTTGAACTGCCCTTCTGTCATTCAGGATGACATAATTCTGTTCTGGTTGGAAGGAATTTGATGAAAACTGGCGAAACAAACTCTGTACTAAAATTTGTCGAAAATATTGTGATATGACGCCCGAAAGCCGGAATAGTGCAGTCAGAATACATGTTCACTGCTAGCAAACGACTCGGTAAACACATTCGTGCGCAACAAATATACAAGCAAGAATCGAGTAACTTCCGCTGCTATGCAACGACGCTGTAAACACGCCTTCCCAACATTTGAGAGGCTGTGTTTTCTGCTTGGTCCGTTCGAAGTGGTTATAAAGAAGAGTTCAGTTGGGAAGATATGAGTAGAGTTTCGAGACGGCAGCCTGCCAGGATATGAGCTTGGGAGCAGAGGAATTGAATTGAGTCGAGTCTTCGGAATTGGCAGCTGCAGAATAATGGAAATAAATTAATTAGGCTGTGAAAAGAAGGCAATGTATGATTTGAAGTGACAGTGAGACTTATGAATCCGTTGCCAGGATACGACTAGTGATTACTGAGAACCCTTGTGCGTGTGCAACGGTGAATTGTAAAGTGTGGAAATAGCAGTAGCGCTATAATTGCCTGTAGTCCAAAGTTGAAGGTATAAGGTGTCAATAAATGCAATCATCCAAACCAAAACCCCGTGTATAAGCCACAAACATTCCCTATATGACAATATTATTTTTATCCTCATAGTTCTGTAATTACACCCGATTTCTCCTGGCGGTGCTCCGGGTTCAAACCTTAGGGTAATCTACATGAGCCTTGGAACTGACAAAATTGCTGGAGCAGGCTTTCCTTCAAGCATTTCGGTCTTTCGCTGCCACTTACGGTTTTACTGATGCTCGAAATTAAATAGGCTAATCCAGTCATCATAAACCCGGTCCCAAATAAGGGTTTTGACGTAACACTTCTTTGAATGTAGAAAAGTAAAGTTCAGTCAATTAGCAAAACCAACCGTTGATAATGAAGTTGGCACTATTGCCGCTTTCAGCTCAAGTAATGTTCGTTTCGAGTTTCATACAAGCGGGCATCTTACCCAGCTGAGGGACTATTATCTTCTAAAAAAATGATTCTATTCATTAGTCAGTCAGTTGCTTACCACGTTCAGAACTTCTCTGCTAGACACTCAGCTTTCTATAAAATGGATACCTCAGGGACTAAAGCAACCTGGACACGAAGCCGACCACTAACTTCAATCTAATGCCGTGGTCTAGTATGCAAATATATTTAGCTTCACGTCCCTATACGCCGTAATGTGGTGCTTAGGCACAAAAGCAGTGTTCATTTCAGAAATGTGATGAGGCAGTACAAGTGAACTGAAACCTTGCAGTCTCTTCCTGGAAAAATCAGCAGCAGTTGCATAAATGTTTGGAGATCGAAAGAAACTTCATTCGCGAGCTTACAACATCAGTCATGCACTAACGCAATTAACATACTGGCGTTTTTGGCAGCGTCTTATAACTTTGACTTGCAACTTCGGGTTACATAACTTCAACATTATTAGTTGAGCCAGGCAGAAGTCTGCAACAAAACAGAAAGCAGCACAGATAGCAAGAAATAAACAACGGGTATATTTATAAATTTTACATTTTCACTGACCCATAATATTGTTATTTATTTATTTATATTTTTGTTCTTGGCACTACAGCCCCAGTGGGCCTAGGCCTACCTCCATTAACTTCTCCGTTCACTTCGGTTTTTCTCGATCTTACACATTCGGTAGGACTCCTTGGGCGGGTGATCAGCTCGTCGCAAGGTTTTTACCTGTACACAAACACAGAAAAACGCACACACACATCAATGCCCTGAGTGGGATTCGAACCCACGATCACGGTTTCCAAGCGAGCGAAGACAGTACATGCCTTAGACCGCTCGGCTACCGTGACCGGCCTTTGTTGTTTATTACTGTTTGTAATTAGAGTGAAACATACATAAGCCATAGATTTGTTTACATTTCATTTTCAAATAGTATGAAACGCTACATTTTGGGGTCTAAGTCCGAAACAAATGAATATCGGGGGTGAAAAATAAAGAAACTGAAAAACCAATGCCGGAAATCGTACTCCGGTTGTTCATAAAACAGCCACTTCTAATGATATGAGATATGCTGTCACATGTATGAGTGTGACTGTAGACGGGGTTTCCATTCGTAATTGGGCTTACTGAAATTTTAGATTCGTGACTACAAGCAATTATAACCGTTTCACTACAGCACACACCTAAGTCTTCTCAGTCTGCTGTGTCTTCACCAGTCTCCTGGTAACGGCTTCCAACGGTGGACATTCCCCTTCCTCTGGGCTCCCAAACTTAAACCGACCTCAGCTACAGAAACTCTCGGCTAACTCCTCACTAACTGTCCTCCTGGCGGGCCGGGTTTGATCCCGGAGTAACTGTGACTTTCTTATGCCACATGTTACAGGTGGTAATGACGCCATCCTCGGTGAGGTTGGCCGAACCATGGCTGTGTCTTGGTGGGGATGCATCATGGACCAGGGATGCGTTGGGACACCTCCTCGTGGTCCCGCCGGGCAACGACAGTCTCGGGGTCTGGATCAGTATGACCTTCCGGGGCTGGCAGCCGAGTTTCCATAAAGGGCAAGGCATTATGACCGGAGCCTCCCACGCGGCGGCATAATGGCTCTTGGGTTTCACTACGGTGTACCTGGGACGAATGCGGGAGAGCACCCCTATGGGGGTAGCTTCAGCTATTTGAGTTGTCTCCCTAGAGTACCGATAAGGTGCCGCAAACCTTAGGGCTCAACACTCTAAAAACGGTTTGACCAACCCATGTGGAGGGGTGGGAATGGGGGAGCTCTGAAGCAATCCCCAGGGGCGACTCTCTCATGTAGGTTGCCCTGGTCGCAGCCTCATGACTAACTAGTATCGCACTCCCATTAATCATCTGGGATACCGCCCTCCCCCGAACAGGCACCCTTGATCCTGGAGGCTTGTGAGGGTTGCATTTACTACAGGACCAAACCACCTAAGCCAAGGTGTGAGACATCGTGCTGAGGGCTGCATGGCACTGGAGTGGTAATTTGCCAGTGTCTTGACCGTTCCCCTCGGGACACCAGGCAGCACCCCGTTGTATTTATGCCCCCATGACTCGTGGG